AAAATTCAATGGATGTCTTATGATTGTCCTCTTAGTATCAGGAAACTTTTTGTAAGTTCTCAAATATGATGGGAATCAAATATATTTTCCGTCTGCTTCAATAATATGTCGTGCACCTGTAACAATAATGTACAATTTACATTAAAAAATACATCCAAGTATTTTACCAGATGTATTAAAAATCCTAAAAGAATGAAATTATACTTTAACATTCTTTTCGGTATTCGTTGAATCTTACCTTTTCTTTTCATAGAAGCTTCAATATTGGTGAAGAACGTTGATCGATTCTGCCATTTATTCAGTCAAACACATGGGGAAATGAAATAGTGCATAGTTTTGCAAGTCTGTTGAAGACTAGACGACAACGACAACGACAACTACTACAACGATAGAAGATAGGATTATATTGAAATTCGTAGGAGAATTTCCTTCTCTGGAGGTGTCTCTCGATTGGTGACAACTCGCGAACACATCAAGACGAGGAATGAGTAAGGAAACTGAAACAGAGAGTATCACCTAACGTAATACAATATACGTGAGTTAACGTTATCTATGTGGCTTTAAATCTCTTACCAACTCTCTCTCTCTCTCTCTCTCTCTCACACACACACACCACACACACTCTCTCTTTCTCTCAACATTTACGAATAAAACTAAAACAACTCGTCGAATACGGATTTTCCCCCTTTTCTCTGGATTACCAAAAGATTGGAGGTAAACCTGATGAATTCGGCTAGTAGTAGTAGTACTAAATAAATAATTCAAAAAACAACAAATAAAATGTAAAAAGAAATACCTTAATGAATAAAAACAAAGAGATCCGTAGAGTTTTTTTTTTTTTTTATTGGATATGTCCATTACTTGTTTTCTTTTTTCTTTTCCCATCGAATTCGAACGTCCAAACTTATCCTCTTTCACCAGCAATGGTCTCAAATGATTTTACCTAAAACCAATTAAAAATTAATTAATAAAGTATCTCGATGAATAAACTCCTGTACTTTAATTTTTCTTTTTTTTTTCAAACTCACGTCAGTAAAACACAAAAGAAAAAAAAACAGTTTTATTTTACCTTTCTTCTTGTATCTGCAAAAAAAGAAAAAAATGATCCGTGAACTTGGTTGAGATTGGTTGATCAATTCTAATCGTCCATTAATTTGTCTGATCTAAAACAAATAAAATAAAATAAAATAAAATAAAAATATTAGAAAAATGTAGAAACAATATAATTGTGTTAGTAAATCTAAGATCAATTAGGAATGTTAAATGGTAATTGCAAGATTGCTAGATGATACCCAGAATTGGTTCTTCCTCTCGTTACTTTAGGTATTCTCGTTTGAGTAAAGTGTATGAGAGAGAAATAGAGAGAAATAGAGAGTGGGTGTGTGTGTGTGTGTAAGAGAGAGAGAGAGATAGAGAATGCCAAGAAACAAGATCGACGTTCTCACCTAGGTTAACTTCCTCTCCTTTATATCTCTATCTTTGTCTCTCTCACTTTCCCTAACATGAATCCGAGCTTTTAACTGCGTTACGTTCAATCTCTCTCTCTCTCTCTCTCTCTCTCTCACTCTCCCACTCTCTTTCTCAAGAGCCAAGAGAGAAGCCAATACAGATCTCTTCTCTCTGTAAATTTGTTCTTAAACGATACCGTAAGGTGCAATCGAAAATTTATCGACTTCTTTGCCAATAAAAAAATTTCAAATAGAAAATGTAGAGGAAATGGACAGGAAAAGAATGATAGAAAAAAAGAGAGAGAACAAAAATATATTATATATGTATATGTAAAGAATGAGAGAGAAAGAGAAAGAGAGAGATTAAGAAAATGATAGAATGAAAGTTAAAAACGAAGAGAGAGAACAAAAATGAATTATATATGTAAAGAAAGAGAAAGAGAGAGAGAGATTAAGAAAATTAAAGAATGAAAAATATAAAGAAAGAGGAGAGAGAGAGAGAGAGAGAGAGAGAAAGAGATAATCGTTTAAAGTACCTTTGATATTTTTCAAAGAAAATAAAAAATACAAAAAGTTTATAGTAGAGATTTATTATTTCCTTTCTTTTTTTTTTTTTTTTTTGAAGTTAAGAGATAGAAAGAAAAGAATAGAAAGATATAGAAAAAAGGGTTGCTTGAAAGGTATGTGTGTGTGTGTGTGTGTGTGTGCTTTCACAAGAGATTTCATCGCGAATTTTCACTTTTATTCGCAAAACTTGGTCCCCAAACCCCTTCCCCTTTACCTCTAACCCCACTTCCCGAAAAGGCACAGTTTTCGTCTGAATAAAAAGAAATAAAACAAAAACAAAAAATCAAAAGAAAGGTACTTCTTCGTTATAGTACATAGAATGGAAGTGAAATGAGCTGCACGAGTGAAGGTACACGATTTAAAACGATGAAAAGGGTTGGCTTTTGGCAATGAAGAAGCATCAAGGGACGATAGAAAATGCCACGAGATGAGAAAGAAATGGAAATAAACGAAAAGTGCAAAGAAAACTAAGAGAATGATGAGGTGGGTTGAGAAAAGGAAGAGATGAGAGGAGAGGGTTTGAAAAAGTCAAATGGGTATTATTTAACATTGAATCAGTATTGGTAATATGTCATTTGTATAAAATTGTATATCCAAAATTAAAATAATATTATTCGAATATTTGTATACAATTAATATAATTAAATAAATTAATAAAATTAAAATTACATATATATGAATTAACGAATTGAAACGAAGGGAAATGAAATGTGAAATGAAAGGAAAAGAAAGGATCGATACGTTCAGTACATTCAAATGTTCTCCTCCCTTGAATATTAGCATCCCCTTTTTTTATTTGTTTCATCTACCACCTACCACCTATTAATACCCCCCCACAATAATTCCTCGCGTGACTTTATAAATAAAACATCGTCACGTTTCCGTGTTTTAGTTAAGGAATATTATTACGGTCACCATAAGTTCGTCGTCCTGTAAGATTGTTGAATATTTATTTCCAAAAGAAAGCAACATTTGTAATGTTTCCAAGATTTATTTCGTAGCAAATAAAAAGGGGGATATTTGGTAATCGTATTCAACGTTCCTTTGATTGGATAAATTATATCGATGGTTAAAAAATTGTTATTTGTTTCGTTTTTTTTTTCTTCTTCTTCTTCTTCACTTATAAATCCTATTAATGTTAATTACATTCAACATTAGGATCAACATTTACAATAAAAGAAACATGTGTGCATATCACACAAGTTAGAAATGAAACCTTCAAATATAAGCAAGTTTCGAGGATAATTTACTATATAATATTATTTGTATACTTTTAATTTGTAATTATTTATTTAATTATTAATTTAATTATAAATATGTGCGCCTGTAGAGATGCAACCTTCCAGACACACTTTGAAAATGTTGCTTGCAAGCGACATCTACTGGGACGGAATTTTTTTGCAGTCAAAACTGTTCATACACACGTGTATTACGGGTTGCCTATCTTTCAGGCAGAATAGAAATATATATAGTGTCTGGCGGGTTGCATACGAACAGGCGCACATTTTTATAATTAAATTAATAATTAAATAAATAATTACAAATAAAAAGTACAAATAATATTATATAATAAATTATATATATATATATATATATGTATATATAGTTACTCGTACTATTCTAGCCATTTCGAAAATGGTTCACAAACGATGTAAAAACTTTCTAAACTACAATACATATATATCCTACCTACCCAGAAAGATAATCTTTTTGCACTTTCGAGTTAGATCAATCGAATGGAAAATCAGTTATTTTCTTTTTTCCTATTACATTTCTCTCTCTCTCTCTCTCTCTCTCTCTCTCTTTTAAGAATGAAACTTTGGTGAAATCTAGAATGTTACTTTCGTTGCTTATCCAAATTCGAACGTCTTTGCATGGGCCATATACTTCAAGGAAAGCTTTGCAAAGAAAGAGAGAGAGAGAGTCTTACAGAAATAGAAAGACAGAAAGAGAAAGAGAGTGAGAGAGAGAGAGAGAGAGAGAGAGATTTTGCAATCAATAGTTCGAAAGACATACGCTCGTAAAATTCTCCTTTTACCTCGAAAGACTTTACAACTATCCGGTGTGTGTGTACAATTTCCTATATCTCAACCCTTCCTATCCCCCACCCAATGGTTTTGATGGTGATAGTTTGATGGTGGTAGTGTTGTCTAGTCCTTTTGATGTATACAAGCGTAAACCTCCTACTCTCTGCTATAGTATTCACGATCTTTTACACAATGAAATCGTCTACTACCACCATCACTTCTCTAAGATTCATCCTATCCTCCCCATTGCCTCTTCCCCATCATTCTGCCAACGCCAACGGCACCATAGGAATATACCACTTGATCACGATAAAGCGGAATAGTTAATTTACTGACACCAGAGGAGAATCGCGTTAAAGTGAACTTACGAATAAACCGTACGTACTTCCCTTTCCCTTACCAACCGACCAACCACCCACCCAGCCCCTCGGCCCCTCGCCCCTCTTTTCCTTCCACTTTCTAAATCTATCAATAAACTTACCAAGTCCACTTCCTTTAAACTCCTGACAATTTGAGTCAATTAAATCTTTGATTGAATTTCTATCTCACTTTCTCCTATTTCTATTTCTATTTCTATTTCTTCGTTTTTTAACAACTAAACCAGTAATATAAGTTTTTTTTTTTTTTTTTGAACACCTTTGAGATGAGAGTTAAAAATGTCAGATTTTTTTTTTATTAATTATAATTTAATTAATTTTAATAATATTATAATTTAATTTTTACATGTATATATATTTAAATATAATTAAAAATTAATTAGAAATAATTCAAATTAAAATTACAAGTAATTAAATTACAATCAAATTGTAACACATTATATATATATATAATAAAAATTATATATATATTTTCTTTTAGTTTGAGACTTTTTGTAAAAAGAAAACAAGAGAAAAGGGTTTTTCCTAGAAAAAGCGTCGGATTTCTTAACACGAATCGCGTGTACGGTTATTCATACGGATACAGTTCGAGCTTGTCTGGCAAAAGCGGAAATATTTATGCGCTCGCGTTACTCGATAATGTACAACGTAAAATACGAGGAACGATAAGGATTTCTCTCTCTCTCTCTCTCTCTCTCTCATACACTTTTACACTCACAACGTCTCTTATATACGAAAAAACGAGACGAAGAAGAAGAAGAAGAAGAAGAAGAAGAAAGAGAGAGAAAAAAGAAAGGGGTGGAATAAAAAATAGGAAAAATTGTGAAGAGCTTCAACGTGAGTAAAGAAGGGGACGCTAACGTTGGATTATGCTACAGAATGTAATTTTAACTACGCAAAACCGGTGTTCTTTCTTTCTTTCTTTCATTTTTTTTTTTTTTTAAGACTTTTTTTATTTTTTTTATTAGCTCTCCGAACAACGCTCAGTTTTTTTCCACCATGTCCAGAGTTCTATGTGTGTGTGTGTGTGTGTTTGTGCATGAGTGAGAGAGTTACTTTGAACAAGTGTTAGTTACCTTTCATTTCTCATTCCATTCTTTTGATTACCTTCTTAATTTATGCATGTATAAYAAACAAACAAAATAATTATTATAAGAAAAAAAAAATTGTCCTATTATTCAATCGTTGAATTATTTTTCGAAAAAAAAAAAAAGAAAAAAAACAATTAAATATCTTCTGAATAGTATGTTGCACGTTTTATTTGATTGATTTGGGTGGGTGAGTAGGGGGAATACTTTCTTTTTGATTTTATTCGTTGATTTTTGTTTGATATTTTTTTTTTTATAATTTGCTATGGTTTTTTTCTTTCTCATTTTATTTAAAGAGATTTTTTTTCTTTTTTTTAAACGAACGAACGAACGAACGACTAGAAAAGTGATTAACGATTTTGTTCAAGTAATCTAAAGAAGAGTTCATTAATTAATTTTATTCAAAGTTATTTTACACATTGTCTTTTTTATCATCTAAGATATATATATATATATATATATATATCTTGAATTGAAAAGGTTCTTTTATCTAAAAAAAAATAAAATAAAAGAAAAAACACGTTTGATAGATAATAATTTTGGTCTCGTTATTATAATAACCCTATCTTTCGTCTACTTTTTAATTTATTTTATAAAAAAAGAGGGAAAGAAGAAAAAGAAGAAGAAGAAGGCGAAGTAAGAGTGGAATAAATAAAAGTAAAAAAAAGAAATTAAAACGTAAGAAAGAAAGAGATAGAGAGAGATAAGAAGTAAAAAAAGAAAGAAAAAAATAGAAAGAAAATCCATATCTTTTTCGTTGATAAATTTCAAACGAATAAATCGCATTTTTTATCCCCTTTGACACTTTCCGCTCGAAGGAGGAGAAGAAAGCTCTCCTGGTTGGATCCTTACTCGTCCGCACGTAATAAATTATACCAAGAGAAGCTTTTGAAAGGCTCGAGAGCTTACCATTTTTTTTTTTTGTGCTCTTTCTCTTTTTATTTTCTTATTTTTTTTTTTTTCATTTTTTCATTTCTTTTTTTTTTCATAGAAGAAGAAAATTACCAAACGCCTTGAAGGAGGAGGAGGAAGAGGAGGAGTAGGAGAATGGGTTGCTTTAAATATTACAAAAACATAAAAAAAAATATATATATATATATAATAATAATAATAATATTAATAATTAAATTAAAAAATTTAAATATTATATTATTTATTTAATTATAAAATATCAAATTAATATTAAAATAAATTTCACAATTAACCACTAATACTCCAAAATAAACCCCATATAAAAAAGAATAAAAAATAAACAAATACCAACCTAACTTCTGATAATGAATCAAAAAACTAATTAACAACCATAAGTTAGTTTCCATAAGTATGTTACTAATTATAATAACATACATTTGCTAGAAATCTGTTTTTGGTAGTGTAAAATTAGTAAAAGTCATAAATCTTACGAGGCAGATCTTTCACCCTCTCACCCATGGTCAAACTGGTAAGCCAATGTCCCATTTGCCACCGCAGTTTCTAGCTAATGCTAGGAAGCATACCTGAACACCCACGTTGACTATGGTTTCGATGGTTCTACGAACGGAAGAGAAGGTGATGGTGAGGTGAAGTGAGAAGTGAAGAGGGTTGCACAATGCAAACGATGCACATATGCATTCACGAACAATCCGTATGTATGCGATGTCACACGCGTGTATGCTACCTGCCGACAAGGATTTCACCATCAAAACCCATCTTCCCCCTCTCCTTCTCTCACACCTTTACCTTCTCATTATCTCTCTCTCTCTCTCTCTCTCTCTCTCTCTCNGTTCCATTGTAGGTATCGATGGTTGATTTTATTTACTAAGGTTTCTAGATTGGATTGGACCGTCAGAGGAGACTTGTCGCCATATAAGATTATGAGGTCGTCGGCAAATGCTGCGGAGTAAGAATTGTTGTTAATGTTTAGTGGGTGGAGGTTTGGGATTGCGTGAGTGAATATGTTAAATAGCTCTGGCGAATTTACTGTGCCTTGCATAGGGCCTTCAATTATATTGAAGGTAGCAGAAGAGAATGTGTCTCCATTCCATGTTACGAATTTCCTGTCCTTGGTCATGTTCCAGACCAAGTGTATTAAATCTTCAGGAAATTCGAGGTTGTTTAGGATATATATGAGACCATTTATCCAAACTGAATCGAAGGCTCGTTCTAGATCTATTAGGCATGCACCTATMACCTCTCCTCTATGAAGATGTCGATTTATGTCCGTGATGATTTTGTGTATAGCATGAGTTGTGGAGTGGTTCCTTTTAAAACCGAACTGGTTATCAGGAATTATATTGTTCGATGAGGAGTGTGATTTGATTATGTTATTAATGACAGCCTCAAACGCTTTACTGATTGCTGGGGTTAGACTGATTGGGCGGTAGCTGGCTACGTCCTCGGGTGGTTTATTCTTTTTGAGCAGAGGCAGGATTTTGGATTTTTTCCAGGATTCTGGAAAATATCGGTTATTGAGGCAGTTATTGAATATGGTTGTGTAGTCGCGTATTATAGTGTCAGGTAAGTGTTTTAAGACTATTGGGGGAATGTTRTCTAGACCAGATGAGGTTTTGTTTGGTAGTGAGGAGATAATTTTATGAACTKGGGTTATGTTGTGAAAATATGTGTTGTTAGCCTGTTGTGAGGGGTAGAATGCTGGGTTTGYTTCACTGAATKGGGTAATAGTTAGTTTCTGTTGCTCYYYATTTTTAAAGTKRWTTGTAAGTYYTTCTACTTTTGTRTCGACTGTTCTTTTGAGGGCTGTGCCATTATTTAAGTACCTAGGAGCATTTATGGTTTCTAGGAAGGCTCCTATCGTATTGAGGATGTCTTGTGGGTTTTGTAGGAGGTACTTATTATCAATTACGGGTAATTCGGATGTGTTACAATTGAAWCGGTSTAGCAAGTGATTTTTGTTRAGRTCTATTGAGATAGTGTTGATGGATATTGGCTTTTTTGGTCTGAAAAATCTATTTAGCTTTGGGAAAAAGGATTCGGAGCTCCTGTGGTTTATTGATTTAAACTGTGTGTCCCAGTATTTTACGTAGGCTGTTCTGTATTCGTTCTTAAGTATGTCATTAATTTTGTGTATGAGGTATTTGAGATATGGTGGGGAGTGTTGGTTGTTGTGTGGATATGTTGTCCTGTAAGATTTGTTGAGGGATGAGACGAGGTATGATTTGTATTTGTGTAATTTTTTGATTTTRAAATTGACGTAATTAAGAACATTGTCTTGTGGTTTGTATTTTGGTACATATTTTTCAATTGCTTTTATGATTGTCTTATCAATTTCTTCTATCATTACGTTAATTTCTGTGTTGGTGAGGTTGGTATTGTGAGGTACTGGGACATTGTAAATATTTTTGAGTTTTCTAGTAAAAACTGACCATTTTGTTTTTTTGTAGATGTATCTGTGATTTGCGGAGGGATTTGTGTGATTTAGATTGTCGTCAAGGCTGATGTTAATTACGAGAGCTTTGTGGTTACTATTGTAGTTGCAGGTTTCTATTTTATTATTAACTAGGTTGCTGATTGGGAGTCTATTATCGGCTATGCAGAGGTCTAGGAAGAAGTTGGCACTGGGGAAGGTGGCCGTGGATGGTGGGTAGATTTTTGTCCTGTATTGGATGCCATTGTTTTCTTCCCATCTTTTGAGAAGCTTGCCCTTAATTTTTGTGGTAGTGTCTCCCCAAAGGATGTTACGTGCATTTAGATCTCCAGCCATTAAGTAGTAATTGTTAGGGTTGTTTAGTTTTAAGCTATTGAAGAGTTGTTCGATTTCGGTGGTGAATATTTTGTTATCTTTATTATTGGCATAAAGTGCAATGATGAATATGTTTTTATTGTTAGTTGTTGTTAATTTAATTATTGTATATTCTAGGATGGTGTTGTTTCTGGATGAAGGGGAGTAAATTATTTGATGAGCTATGTTGTTTTTTATAATGATTGCAGTACCGCCGCCTCTGGTACTGTTGGGTCTGTCTGTTCTTATGATATTGTGATYTTTGAATTGTATTTTATGGTTTTTGTTTAGTTTGGTTTCACTGATTAATGAGATGTCGAGGTTATTGGTTTTGATGAAGTTGAGAAGTTCATATCTTTTACTGAGGGATATAAGGGAGTTAACATTAATGGCTGCGATTTTGATACACTTATTAGCGATTATTTGATTGTTATCTGTGTGGTTGGNTATACCTATATCTATTACTATCTTTGTCTATCTACTTATCTCTGTCTCTGTTCCTAATATCTTCGTAAGCTCTCACTCACTCACTCACACACTCACTCACTCACTCACTCACTCACCCACTCACTCACACACACACGAATCACTTAGGGATTCGAAGCTTATGTTAAATCTATGCAGATATGTCATACTCGTCACGTTAATTACATGCTTATGAACAATCCTGACGTGATAATTGACACCATTAATTATTATTATAATTATTATTATTGTTAGTATTGTTATTATTATACTTAGAATGATAATAATGATGATGATGATTGCTATGAAGATCTATTCGTAGATAGAATTGATTTAGAATATCGTAGGAGGAGTTACATCTATAATCAAATCATTTCTATTAGCTTCGATATAGGAAGCATTACTATACAATGTAGAATAGTTATATACATTATGGGGATATGTGTATAAGTGTGTATGTATGTATGCATGTATGTGTATTCATAGATTAAATACGACGGATGTTATTATTATTATTATTGCTAATTAATTCTATTAATTGAATATTATATGATGTTAATTGACAATAATATAATTAAAATATAATTAATAATAAATAAAAATATAATAATTAATAAAATATTATATATTATATATAATTAATAATTTTTATATATTATAATAAATAATTGATTAGAAATTATTCATCAATAATTATTTCACATCAGTAATCATCGTGTAATAAATCATTTAATTATATTCATTCATTCTTCATTGTTTTCTATTTCCTTCTCCTCCCCTTCTTTTCTCACCCCCACGTTTCTTTCCTCCCTCTTTTTTTTTTTGTTCCTTTTTCTAATCACCGAGACCATTTGAAAAAAAAGAAAAAAGAAAAAAAAGGAAGTCCAGACGAGAGTGCGTTTCGGTAACCGCAAAAGTACCCCGTGTGTACAAAGACCCTCCTACTGGAAATGGGAAACTTGAGACGCGTTAAGTCGAGTCTTTGGGGGGGTGAGGGGGTTGGAAAAGGGCGGGGGAGGATACAGCGGTAGTTTCAGAGAAAAAGAACGAAAAAGAAAAAGCCAAAAAAAAAAAAGGAGAAGTAAAAAATAGAAGAAGATGGAAGGACCGGAAGATCGACAAGGAGACCAAAGGGAGAGGAGTAAAGGGTGGAAGGGATAAGGGTGAAAAAGGTGTACCGACGAAACTTTAAAGGGCAAGCTTCAAGGATTTACGAGATCCTCGTGTCTTAAATCTTAAATATTAAATCATCATGTAACCCCTTCTTTCTTTCTTTTTTTTCTTTCTTTTACTTGGTGAAAAGGGACACGAGTTGTGGTTTAAATCTTTCGAGGATATTTGCATTAAAAACTTTCACTTTAATTTTTTTTTTTTTATATATTCGTAAAGTTTAATAAATCAAACGACTTTCTTTTCCATCTCTCTCTCTCTCTCTCTCTCTTATTCGTCTTAATTATTCTTCAAACGAAATTTTTACTTTGATGTTGCCAATTACTTTCTCAACTATATTAAAATGTATTTATAGAGTATACTAACATATGTAATTATGTATTATATATTTTCCACATAATTATTTTTTTAAATTAAATAAAAAAAAATAAAACAGTAATTAAAATATGTATATATAGTATACTTTTATATTTTTTTCATTATTTTATTATTTAATAAAAATTTGAATTAATAATCATAAAAATGTGCGCCTGTAGAGATGCAACCCACCAAACATACTTTGAAAATGTTACTATAATTATTTTTGAAAATTAAATAAAAGAATAAAAATATAATTAAAATATATATTTATATATATATAGTATACTTTTATTTTTTAATTATTTTACTATTTAATAAAATATGAATTCCGTCCCAAGAGGTGTCGCTCGGAAGCAACATTTTTAAAAGTATGTCTGGAGGGTTGCATCTCTACAGGCGCACATTCTTATAAATAAATAATTTATCACTCATTCTCATTTGATACAATTGAATATATTTATTGATTTAGATTACTATAAATTTATATTTTATTATTATTATTGTTATATATTATTTTATATTTATCAATATCATATTGTTTTTATTATTCTATTTGGTTAATATCAAATAGAAAGAGAGAGAAAAATGAAATATTATATGACAGATAAAATATTTGAACGATTCAATATTACATTTTATTAATATCTTCCTATAAGTGCAATTGACTTTTTGTTCATTTATCTTTTTTTTTTTGTTTATGATAACATTTCGTTTCTTTTTTATTCTACGTTATATTTTCTCATTTGAAAAGAGAGAGCAAATAATAATAATAAAAAGTAACTGACCTATCTAAAAACTTGACTTTCTTTTCTGTACTGTCAATTCGAGTTCATATAAGTCGGGTGAAACACATTTCCGAGAATATAATCTAGGTCAGAGTAGATCATGCGCAGAGTTTACTAAGAGTAAACATTATTGCGTATACTTTAACTTATTAACGATTCGATGATTTAATGTAACGTGTTCTATTATTTCGTCTCTTTTTATGTTTTTTCTTTTATTTTTTATTCAACATTATTACCAATAAATTAAAACAAACAATTCTGCTACTGATACACATAATACATATATACATTATATCACCACACACATACTAATCATCATATACATAAAAACACATATTCTCGAATGAATTAAAAAAAGGTCTATGAAAGTCTATGGAAAAAGATTGTTATGTGTACTCATGTACACCATACTACAGTACAAACATTAAAAGAATAAATTCATGGAAAATTTCGATGATAAAAAGTGCATACTTGTGTTAAAGAAAACTCATGATTTTGCATAATTTTGACACATACACGACGACTTTCATAAAAATACACATACAGCAGAAACGATAAACGAGTGAACATGGGAAAAGAAAGAGAGAAGGGACGGGGGGGGGTGGTTTATATGAAAGGGAAGAGGAGATCATGCAACCTCTTTTGTAAACTTCTTCTGACTGTTTTCATAGTTATGGGGGAGAAGAGGGGGGAGTGATAGTAATAGTAGCTTTGAACGAGTTGAAAAAGAGAGATAGTAATGAGACAAAGAAAGATACATAAACGTTCTTAATGGTATAAAGGAAATTGTTTGTTTGTTCTTCTTCTTTGCTTACAAGGCTAGCTAAAGCTTTTCTAAGGTTTCTTTTTTTTTTTCATGCTTTTTCGTGTAATTACAAAACGTTGTCGTATGTGAAATTTTTATTGGTAGGTGGGTGGGTGAAAGGTGAAGAGGAGAAGGAGGGAATTAGTGGTGGTGGTAGGTTGAAACAAGAAAAATAAAAGTAAAAATAAAAATTAAAAAGAAAAATGATGAATAAAATAAAAAAAAGAACACACAAACATAAGAGAAAGTATGCAACTAAAAATAAAAATAAAAATAGTGAAGAATGTGATAGGCTGCCCTCTTTTTATTTTCCTATTTTTTTTTTCTTTTTGACTTTTATCAAGAGGTCTCATATTTTTCTTCGAGAATTTAATAATTCGAAGCACACGTGAAAAACCAGAGTAAAAATGAGTGAGAAAATATATGTGTGTGTGTTTATGTATATATGTATATGTATATGTGTGTATATATGTGTATGTTTTGAGAGAAGAAAATTTATTGCACGAAACTCGCTATCTTTCATTTAAAAATGTCGAACTTTCTTCGTAGAAACGTTTTGAGGAAAAATTTATGTGCTTGCTAGAGAAGTTCGCCAGGTGAAAGTCGAATTCGTAGTCTTTGGTGGTAGTAATGGTGGTGGTGGTGGTGGTGGTAATGGTGGTGTTTGTGTTGTGTTAGTGGGGTACTTCGAAGGAGAAATAAGGAAAAGGGTATGTGGAAGAATTTACACAATATTTACGAGAGTAAAAGTTGGAAAATACATAGCCCACTTGTTTATCGATTTATCCACCTTTTCCTATCTGCAAATTTCATTCTCGCAATTTGCGTCTTTTTCAAATATCTTCAGAAATTTTCATATGCATATGTGTATATGTGTGTGTGTATGTGTGTGTTACTGCAAAATTCGACGTTCTTAAAAATACTTACATTTATGTTGTATAGTTGGTTCAATGTATATATTTTTTATTTAAGAAATTTTTTTAAAGTAATATTTAATTTTTTAGTTTAAAAATCTTGTCATTGAATGTACGAACGAACGATTTCAATTAAATGTTAAAAATTATCATTTTTATATGAAGAAATAAATTATTACCTTTCTTTAATTCTTTTTATTATATATATATATATATATATATATAATTTAATTATTTTTTATCTTTTATTTATTATAATATAATTAATTTAATTGTGTTTTTTTAAAATGATATTATTATTCATTGGAATTATATTATTATTTATTCCTAATGCCAATTATTAATAATAATATAATTTTTTAAAATAATTGTGTAGAGCAACATTTTCAAAGTGTGTCTGGTGGGTTGCATATCTACAGGTGCACATTTTTATAACTATTCACCCTAAATATATATATATGTAGAAGAGACAGGGCGTCAAGA